TCGCTGCCTCACGTCCAACAACCCCGTGGATTGGAGCCAATTTCTGCCATGGATAGAATACGCCCATAACTCCCTCAGATCTGCATCCACTGGACAATCCCCATTTCAGGTCAGTCTCGGCTATCAATCACCTCTTTTTCCCGCAGACGAGAGAGAGATTTCGGTGCAGTCCGTCAACCATCATATCCGCCGTTGCCAAAGGATCTGGAGGGAAACCATCGCCACTCTCAACCAGTCTTCAGAAGCGACTAAGCGCTTCGCCGACGCCAGGAGACGTCCCGCCCCCGAGTACACCGAAGGCCAGGAGGTATGGCTGTCCAAAGGGGATGTCTCGAAAACTCTCCCCTAGATTCATCGGACCCTACAGGATCACCCGAGTCATCAATCCTTCAGCCGTCCGTCTCCAATTACCTCAGTCCCTCCGGATCCACCCCACCTTCCACGTGTCCCAGATCAAGCCTGTCTCCTCGAGCCCTCTGTGCCCACCGTCCGACTCCCCACCACCCGCCCTGGAGGTCGATGGACATCCGGCCTTCACGGTTCGTCGCATTGTGGACTCCCGTCGACGAGGTCGCGGATGGCAGTACCTCGTCGACTGGGAGGGCTACGGACCGGAGGATCGCCAGTGGGTTCCAGGCTCATACATCCTCGATCCGGCCCTTATCGAGGAGTACGAGCGTTCCTGCCCATCAACCTCTTCCGGACCGCCAAGGGGCGGTCGTTGAGGGGGGGGGTACTGTTGGGAGCTGGAGAAATTCCACCTTTCTCCAGCAGAGTCCGCCGTGGATCCTCTGAGGGAGCCTCCTGCACAGCTGCAGCTCGTCTAGATCATCAGAGGATCCACTACTTAAGCTGTCTTCAGACCTTGCCTCAACGCCGCAGTGTTGTTCCAGTTGGTCAGCGCTTAAGCCTAGATCCTCAGAGTAAATCTATGACTTTTGAATCCAGCTTGGATTCTAACCCCTGTGTCTGTTTTCCAGGAAACCTGTGCCTCCTCTGTGAAAGCTCTGGAAGAGCTAACCTGCCAAGCCGACCCTCTGAGCCAAACCCGAAGATTCACAGAGAACCTCCAAGCAGCTCTGGACTTGAGCTGGGTAACCCAAAGCCAAGGTCTGTTCTAAGTAGACGTGAGACGCTGAAGCAGCTACGGACTCTGCTGATGAACTCTTCTCCAGAACCAACAGTGACTCTCCCAAAGCTAACCTCAAGAACCCTCAAGGTACAATCAGTAGACTTCTGGAAATCAAACCTCTGTTGGCAACGCTAACTGAACTGTCTCTCACACAGACTCCGGTGAACCAGAATCCAGGCCCCGAACCTGAACCAGAATATTCAGTGTGTTTGTGCAAAATAAAACTGTTAAACTTTCATCCTTGTGTCCGTCAGTGGTGTTCTGCATTCTTGGGTCGCTTTCAGTGAACCCATCATGACACTTAAAGTATAAAAGTAAAAGTAGAAACCACTTTTTTCATGCCGTTGCCTACATTTTAAATGGATGTCTGCCAATAGGACTAGATCTCCGTAGTGTTCATTTTCAATCATCTCGTCGTCCATGCTACTATGCTAACGCCACCGCCACCAAGCTGCAATGATTTGCCGCAAATGAATACCGCCGAATCTGTCGATTCATCTTGTAGTGGTGCGTCAAATGCAACGTAGATTCCCATCCAATTAGATTGAATTTGGTATTGATGACGTGAAAAATAATAACGGTAACTCTATTGAAATGATTCAAAACTAAAGTAATGAGCCAATTTTTTAAAATGTAAGGAGTAGAAAGTAAAAAGTCGCCATAAAAATAAGTTGTAAAGTAAAAATATCAGAAAAATCTACTTGAGTACAGTCACAAAGTATTTGTACTTCGTTACTTCCCATCTCTGTTTAGATTTTATTTTTACCTAAAAATGTATCAAGGCCTAATGCAAACGATTGGTTCCTGCATAAAAGTAACACTTTTATTTCTAGTTTAATTGATTTTGCAGATGCTGTGGGTGATTTACCTGTAAAAAACAAATTCCTCTAATTTTTTTTAACCTTGGCCTATACACACGAGCGGGTCGATTTTTTTTGTAATATATCACAGTTTGGTTAGAGGGAATTTCTTCTTTTAAAATTAAAATACATTAACTATTGATTCTTGGGTTGTAGCATTGTGGTCAGCATGCATTAAAAGTGAAATTATTAAATTATTTGTGCCATTAGCCATGGTAAAGAAAAGAACCATGTAACTCCATACAAGGATTTGAACTGTCAAATGATATGAATTTCATCTAAAGGGAATCATCACAAAAACATGGAATTGCAGAGTTAAAATTCCATCAAATTATCCTATTCCAAGGCTTTAGGAAAAGCCCAAGCTTAAAGAGGGCCCTCTCCTGTTGACATGCTAAAGTGCAACCCCCTCCCATTTTAAAAGTGCTTCACTTTATTTAGTTTACATTGTTCTTCAGCCACACAAAACAATTCATCTCAGATCACAAGCTGCGTTTATATTTGTCTTTGTTTAGGTATTTGGATGTTTCCCAGGGGGGGAACTTACTGCTTTTAATTTACGTATAAAATTCCATTTTAATAACATAAGTAACAGATACATTGTTATCGGACTTTGGTAAATATGCTTTTTTTTGTTTTCAAGAAATGATGGTATTTGGGTAAACCTGCAGGTAGATTTCATTCATCTTCACCATCCAGATAACTTTCCATTATTGTAGAAAAGTTTTTCTCATTTAGGTCTGCTGTTATTCTAAATGCCTTAACATTGTGTAGATAGATCCAAGATTCACTGTGTATGCATGATGACTTTATAGACAACAAATGCATTATTGTATCCTCTACATGTAAGCATTGAATTAGAACTAAATAAGTGTATTTTTTATTTAGTTTTCAAGAAAAAAAGCGAGACATTGTCTTTTCATCTAATCAACATAAAAAAACTAAGAACATTGAACAATTTATATGTGTAGTATCTCACCAGATTTGTTGATAAACACTGCCACCTAGAGGTCACTCCCTTGTATAAACCTGACATGCTTTTAAAGTCGGATTCTGATTTCAAATGGCATTTCTATCTAGCTTAGGTATTTAAAATCTACGACTGACCAGAAAATAATCCAACTTCATTCTATTATCTCAAAATAAAATTAGAAATAATCAAAACACAATAATTCAAACTCTGATGTGAAAGTAGTCAGCCTTTATAAAGCATTTTATTCAAGAAATGTACAATTGTTTTTTTTTTTTGTCCTCAAAGTAACCCATATGATCTGAAGGGAAAAAAAGAGGATCTCCACAGTGCTTTACAAAGCATATAAGCACAAAGTATATACTTGTATAAGGTGAAAATACTGAGGTTTATATTACAGAACAGCCATCAACAGAAACAGACAGATAAACAAGTGAAATATATTAATCCAACATGTCAAAGGGGATCATTTCTTATTCTTATATAAAAAATAAATAAATAAATGAAAGCACATTTTCCCCTTAAAGCTTGGCTTTGTTTCTTTTATATCACATATTTACTGAATTTCAAAGGGATCTGCTGCTACAGTACTTTTTGACACTAAAAAGTAAAAACCGGAAACGAGCGGCAGCACATGCGATATGACGAATCGGAGACAACGCCTCACATTCTTTCTAACTACACATGCAGAACTACACAAATTTACAATTTATTTAACAACAACGCCTCGGAAGAGGTTAGCACTTTGTAACCATTTCTCATATGGCTGATTTTGCATTGAGTTATGACATTATTTAGATTTTAATCTGTTTTAAGTCAATTGTGTATTTTTTAAAAAGGTACCTAATGAGAAGCATTTGTTGAACGTTTTCCTCTCTTATGTATATCGGCAGCCACCAATAAAAAAAACAACATCATTTTGACTACTTCACCTCGTCAGGTAAACAAACATGAACGTCACACATTTTCAGTACAAAAACAGCAAAGCGGTCGACAAAAAAAACATTTATTAAGAATCATTTGCTAAATTTCAGTCAAAGTAGTCGTAACATACTCAGGTTGATAAAAGTGGTTCCCTTATTAAAGACTTGAACAATAAACACATACAGAATAAGCCTCTTGCATTTCTACAATCCCCCTTTTTTTTTCCTGAGGCAAATAAAATAAATACTACTGTAGTTTTTCAAGGTGTCCTCAAGTACTTCTGGTAGGAGAATCACTTCATTAAAGGGCCATGCTATTTCAAAACATTAAAATAAGTCTGGGCACTTCGGCACCATCATCAGCTCTCTGTATACTTATGTGTTACCTCGTTTAATAAAATCAAATCAAAGGATTTGTCCAACAATCTACAGCAAAGCTGTGCTTTCAGTGCCTAAGAAAACCCAATGCTTGTTACAGAATCACAGAGAAATGATCTAAAGCAGTTTCCTTAACACCAGAACACGTAACCTCAGTCATTAATAAAAGGTTCAAAGAACTTCCTTGTAACAGTGCTTGGATTTTAAAATGTCACCGTAAAAAAATAAAAAGATTAGCTCCATCAGGTTTGATGTTTTTAACTGCAAAACAGAGGAAGCACTGGAGGAAATGTAATTCATCTTACAAGCGCATCAAACACAACAAAGTACTGCGTTACTCTTCATCGCCGTCTCTTTTATATTTTATAGCAGGACAGCAAACAAGCTGCTCATCAAAAGGGGCGGTAAGCAGGGGGTGGCGAGTTTGAGAATCATCCCCAAGGAGACGTCAGAGCCAAACGCTTCCTTTAATGTGACGCACTGTTCTGTTCCCTACAAAGTGAAGCTTGGCCCCATAGAGACGGAGTGGAGTACGGTATTTTCTTTGGAACAAACAGCGGCGCAGCACATCAGTTAATAGAGCACGGCTCCCAGAGGAGAGCTCAATATAGGACACTCTTCCTCTTCCTCCACTTGAGCTATTAATACACCCAAACAAAAGAAGAGGCTTAATGAGGCAGCTACGGGGAACTCATGCGAGCTAACTTAGACGAGAGCTTTGTAGTGTTTAGTTTCAAGGATCCCGGCTTTTTTTTTTTTTTTTTTATAAAGGGCAACAGATCCCCACTTTGCTTCATCTTTTATGGTTGATGCTATTGGATGAAAAATGAAAAAGCACCGTACATGTACATTGTGCTATGCCATTTTCTGTTTAAACCCATTCGGTCTGATCTTTTCTTTAAAGGATAAAAGCAACGCAGCGGCAAAAAGAGATGCATAGTTTCAGGCATGAAAGAAAATATTTTTTCATGCAGTTTAAAAGCAGCTACCTTTAAGTTAATGCTTTGGTTCAGATTCGAAGTGCATAAAAATGGCCAATGGTGAGAGCGCGTTTGAATAAACACAATAGTCAAGCTCAGGGATAATATTTCACATTTGACTGCCAGTTAATTTATATACCCTGTATATAAATCAATAAAATACAGCATTTAACTTCATAGCAGAAAGACACACATAATATCTAGTATTAAAATTGCCAAATATATTGATTAAAACACTGGGATTTTGTTATATTTAGGCTAAGATGAATATAAAGATGCAGAGATATCAAAGGGTTAACGCAATTGGTTGAACTTTTAAGCTTTGTGTCTACTGAGCAGTGGGAGGCTCAAAAATTCCACCTTTTCTCGCTCAGTGAATGCACCATACTGAGTGCTACAAGGTCAGGACAACACCACCACCACTCTTTGGTGTGAATGCAATTACTGAATGAAGGGCGCTCAAAGTTAGCCGTTTTCCGTAGCAGGAAGGTGGTGAAGCACAGAAATGGGAAGATAAAGAAAAAGGGGATTTAAATAGACACCACATGTAAAGAAGTCTGACTCTTCAGTGATTAAATCAGCTTCTTTTTTCTGTGTCCCTATGTGTGCCACGTCTTTACCACCAAGATCAATGTCTGCTATCAACATCAAGCTCTACTCATGGATTATGAGCAGGAACAATTAAAGATCTCTCTCTTTTCAATCCAAATAAGCTCTATTTGAGACCTACCCTGTTTAATTCAGTACGGTTCATTCAGGCAGCAACACAAAGAGAGAGCAAGACTTTCAGGAAGTAACAGAAAGGCTGACCAGAGAACCAGTCATTACTCTGTTTGACCTTGCTTAGCTTTCAACCTTTATCTAATATGGAAATGTCAGTGTTCTACATCTTCTAGGAAACACATCCAGAGCCTGTTTTTTTTATGGTGATCATGCTAAAAGAGTTTAACATTTAGAATCAGTTATCATTTTGCTTTGTTTTAAACTCTGATATTCTCACATGACAAGAAAGCTAAAAAAGGAGATATTTTCACTGCTGTTCTTGCTTTTTTTTTTTTAGCTATTTATAAAGAAATTGTAGTTAGCTAGAAATCAGCATCAGCAGAAAAAAACAGAAATAGTAGGTCGAGCACACATCTCTAACTTAAGCATCTCCAGTAAAACTGGGTTTGGTACGTTTATAATAAATCAGGAAAAAAAGAGGTCCCAATTTGATTCAGGGACTTTAAATGTGCAAGTAAACAAATGCAAGCTGGATCAAGTAGGATTCGGCCTTTGAGGCCATAAATAAAAGGGGAGAAAAATTTATATTTCAGTTCACATTATAACCTGCACTGAAATTTGGCACGAACCAGAGATCTGCACAGCTCCTTGTTTCATACATGAAACGGGACATGATCGATTGAGCAAGCATCAAAGACCAGAAGCGATCTGAAAACTTAATCAGATAGAAAATGATTTTAAATACTTAAGAAAGCGGCTTGATTTTCTTTTTTTGTTTGTTTTTCAAGCACAACCCTTAAAAATCCCCACCTCTACACTCATAGCTGGAAAGTGGACATTACTTGATTCTTGAAACTTCCTGTTAATTTGTTTAATCATTTCTGAACAGGAGGCCGCTTAAACCTGCCCATTTCAGTCCTCAGTAGGAGGGAGTTACGACTTCGTATCATATTGGGCAGATCTTGGTTTTTCATTTGGGCCAAAGATCTAACTGGCTGTAGTAGGAAGCACACAATTGCGTCCAACACAGTGCAACAAAAGTTTAATCCCGCTATTGTGCTAAATGCTGCTGATCTGAAGATAGGAGCACATTAACAGCAAGCCATGCTAGGTTATGAAGAGCTAACACATTGTTAGGAGGGAGCAACAACTCTAAATAATCTCTGCTCTCAGGGTGGCATCCCAGCGGGCTGCAGAGCTCTCAAACTGATAAAACTACAGATGGCGTTCTTTCTTAAATGGTTTCCAAGGTGCCTTAAATGCACACATTTTTAGGGTTATTTCTTTCATGATACTATTTTTAAAGCCTTACTGCATCCAATATTTCTTTCAGGCTCATTTGGAACCATAAATAAGTTAACAATATAGCCTTTCATAAATACACTACAGTCTAAAATTTACATATAAATAAAAGCTCCATCTCACAGAGACTTCTTAAAGAAGCAATTTGTCCCAAGGTTTCACTACGCATCTTCTTTCTGTTTGACAAAAAATACAAAGCCACTAAGGTTTAAATACTACGAGTTTCCCTTTAAAAAAAACATCACCTAGAGACGTGGACAAATACAGAGAACGAGGAGAGGACAGAGCTCCTGCTTTTATGATGAGTACAAAGATGTCTCTCCCTTCCATCTTGCTGGACTGGAAACAGTGGGGCAGCCCTTAAGACAATGATAAATTCTGCCTGGTTCAGTCCCTGATTGATATGGAGGAAGCGTGAAAGTCAGAGAAAAAGAAATGAGAGGCTATTGCTAAAGATGATTGATTGATTTGTCTTACAGTGCAAGCTTCTGCACCTGCTGCATGCTCGATTCTGGTGACATGCAGGCGTCCATGCAATAGAGCTGGAGGCAGAAAATTGCCAGGGATGAAGACAAAGAGGAGAGCTGTCATCAGTTGGATCCACAGTCCATCAATAAGACTGAATGTGGATTTATCTCACTGTCCTTCTGTGAAGTGAAAGGCTGAAAGTGTGGTCTGTTCTCCAGAGTCCGTCTCTTCGGTCCCTGCCGCGGTAACAGGAGGGCTGTTGGAAGGCTGTGGATTGGGTTCGCCCTCTGTTAATGTCTTCTCTTGAGACTGGGAGGAAGAGGAATGGGTGCTCTCGCTGGAACTGCTGCGGGTCTCTGTGCTGGTACTTGTCTTTTTCATTTTCCTCCTCTTGGCTAGTGGCGCCTTGTCCACCGTTTGTAGGCGGAAACCTTCTCGTTTACATTTGTTAAATGCCTAAAAAAAAAAGAAAGTGGGAGGGTTATTTAGATGTTCTTTTTCTAACAATCTCTTGTGTTAATTATTCTAGATACCGGCACTTTTATTATTGGTCTAACCTTTTTTTTTTTTACATCAACATATATTTAAAAATTGCTTCTTTGTTTAAAATGCCTTTTTTTTTTTTTTTTTTTTACAGTAAACACAGTTTAGCATACAGCCATGTGATGCAGAAAACTAACTCTAACGCTTTGGGAATGTCCTTTCTTTGCAGGTCTGGGGAAATTGGTTAAAATTGAACTAAATACAAGGCAAATCAGATACACTAAAACTATTAATAACTAGAATAGTTCAGATAAACACAGAATCATGTATAAAAAGGTGAATCCTCCAGATAATCAGACTATTACTATAATTAAAGATCTTTAGATGTGCAACGATGGAAGATACAGAACCCAAACTTTTAGCAATATTTAGTTTTACAAAACAAACGACCAAATATACATTGCTTCAAACTTCTTATGTTGGGTTTCTCGATCTTCTACTCTTATACGTTTAATATTTAAAAATAGTATACAGTTTTTTGTGCAAGTTTCTTACTGGTTATCATTGCTTTCTTACATTAAAGGTGGCTTTGACGCAAGTGTGAACGGTGGCAGTGGAGGAGCCCAGAATGTCTGGGGTCATGAGTGGGTTGGAGGACAGCTGGCTGTCGTCCTGGAGCCAGGCGTTGTAGCGCAGGCCGCACATCTTAATCCTCTTGTCTGGATCCACGGTCAGGAGCTCTGCAGCAAAAAAAGACCCAGATAATTCGCTTAACACATGAAAGAAGAAGGCAGGTCATGTGGGAGTCCTCTGAATAAGTTCTTCCCAAATTCAAACAGTTTATCCATTGCAGAGGTGTTTAAATGGTCCTATTGGCTAAGAGGAAGCAGGGAGCAGTGATAGGGATTATGATGTGTACTTAATTTGATCTTTAACTGGATTAAAATTCAAACGAATAAAGCATTAGATGTTTAGTAAATATGTGTAAGAATATCATAAGTATATTAGGTTTTGAGAGAAATAGGATTTTTTTTAATATTATGTCACAAAACATTTTATAGATGACAAGCAGAGCCAGTGGCGCCCATGTATGGCAGCCTTACTTCTGACTGTGGGACCCATTGCAACTGTGGCTACAATGCAGCTTGTAGAATGGGTGAATGACTGAATGTAGAGTTTAACTCCTTGGGAAAAGGTGATATACAAGTACAGGATACAGTTGATTGTGGCAGGACTAGTAGGCCTGTTTCTAAAGGGGTTTCAAATGTGTTGCCTGTATCACTTGAATAGGTAAGGGATTTATGGAGGAGAGAATGGAAATGATCACGTACTTATACTACAGTGTTGCCTTTAAAAACACGTTAAATTTTCAAAATAAAGCAAATTTCGAGGAAAAACAATACTTGATCTCTGGAATAATTAATATACAATTGAAAAACTGGGTCTGAATTGTCAAACATGATCAAAAAAATGCGACGATTATCTATAGCTGATTGGTATAAAGGCATCATGCTGTCCATCCGATGCAGTCTGTAACACGCCATTCTAAAGAGAAGGCTTCTCTAAACTGTACTCATTACTAGGGGTGTAAATAATAATCGTTTTGTATCATTGCATCGATCCAACAGCCGACGATCCGATGGATCAATACGTCTGCAAAAGTATCGATTCATGTTTTTTTTTCCTCCGGTCTATTTTTATCCATTTGCTCCTGGATGTAATTCTCCCTCCCGTGCTGCGGTGGCGCTAAACCTATTTTGCCCTCCTACCTCGCTTCCTGTTTATACTCTTTCAGCAGTGTGTTGACACAGACATTTTTGATTTATGCTCAATATTGAAGCGTGGTTTGCGCTATATGCTGTGAGTCTAGATACGGCCGAGGCGGTGAGGAAGTGGGGGCGAGTTTAGTCCGACGACGGAGGGACATGAGGGCCAAAAAGAGCGGAGATCCAGGTTGAAAAAGGGTCCCAGCATTCTTGCGCACCTCGCTCTTCTAGCGGGTCAAACTTCACAAGTTGTTTCCCACAATTTCAGTCATAAAAACAAACCAAGCCGGCCTCCTGTCTGCAGCACTGTCTGCGGTCAGCTACAATTTGGGAGAGGTGCAGCGGAGCGTCTGTGGAGGGGGCGGGACGTCTGGAGTCAAGGTATTGCATTGCACTCATTGCACTGATTTTGTGCAGTATTTTTGATGCAAGGCCTTTCAGAATCTATAACACAGGGGCATTACTATTTTTCAGTGAATGAGGTTTTAATAGGAATAGGTGGAGTACAACTTTTCTACTTCTGTTATTTGCTGTTGTTTCTCAAAAAAATGCATAAAGATATTACAGCTTTCATTCATTTATTTCAAATTTGAAACATTGTCCAGCCTGTAAGGTGTAAAAAAAAATAAAATAAAATAAATGAACCAATTAATCGAATCGTATCGTGGTGTATTCTTGAGTATCAGAAATAATCGAATCGTTGGGTCAGGAAATCGATACTGAATCGAATCGCCATGATGGATGTGATTTACACCCCTAATCATTACAGCGAAAATGTTTACTCAAAATAAATGCAACTTAAGAAGATACTTGCAAAAAAAAAAAGGTAAAACATAGAGCTAGGTGCTCCAGTAAATGAAAAAACAACAACAACAAACATGATAGTTAGGATACTGAGTTTTAGCAGATAAATAAAATATGAGAATTGTAATTACAAACCGAGCAAGAAAAATCTTTATCAGTGTTCTTCATTACTGAGATACTTGTAGTGAGTTAATCCCATTAATATATAATTCACTATGTGAAGCTACTGCTTGAAGAGGTGAACGCTTCACTGAAGTTCAGATAAGGACAAACTTCCTGTTTCGACAGCATTTCTTTGTCTAAGTTAAAATCTGGGTTTCTTATCTGTGAGGCTGCAAACACACCAATATCCCAGCTCTGAAAATACTTTTACTGAATTTGATCACATCACAAAAATAATCTTCAGATGTGATGTCACTAAGATCAGGTAGTGGAAATAGTGAGGGGGAAGGAAATGATGCTTAGCTCTGATGTTTGTTTTTATACAAAAGATGAGCGTCAGGATTGATTCCTTTACCTCGATACTCCAAGATTAAAATCAAAGGCAATTATTGGCTTCAGAATTTATAAAAATAATGTCAGTGTGAGTACAGCTCATCTGTCTCTAAACCAAAAAGGTTTGTTGGAGAACTTTAGTGAACGAACAGCATCATGGCGACCAAGGAAGATGGCAGAGAGGTCATGGATTATGTTAGAAAACAGCACTTTTTGTTTAAGATATTGTTATTCATTCCATCATGTTGATAACAAACAGGGTAGGAAGGTGTAAATCTCCCACAGTATGGCTTTGGAAGAGTGGTAAGGTGAAAGCCCCTGCTGAACAAAGCATTGCAAATGCTGAGTTTACACTTCTGAAAGGTGAAAGACGATGCACATTAGATTAGACTAAACAGAACAGTTTGGCCTGAACGTAAAATCCTAAGTATGATGGAAGAGTAACGCCTCACCCTCCACCACCCCAGTGACACGATGGTGGAAGGATCATAACGTGGTGTTTTTTTCTTTACCAAGGAGAAAGAAGCTGGTTAGAGTTATTGGGAAGATGGGATGAAGCTAAATGCAAGACAATCTTAGAAGAAACCCTGATAGAGGGATAAAAGGATTGGACGGATGTTCAAATTTCAGCATTACAACAACTCTAAACACACAACCAGTAACCATGAGGAAATGAGTCAAATTCAAGTAGATTTGTGTGTTAGAAAGGCCTAGTCTGGTGCATTTTGAGCCAGGTTGCCTGGAGAGAGTGTCCAAACAAACTCTCCTTAAACTTTGCTGGAAAACAATGGAAACCTTTTTTTTTCCACTTCAAAAATATGAACCATTTCGCATTAATCTGTCCCTGTAAAAGAGACTGAAGTGAGTTTGTTGAAAATGACGAAATGTGAAAATGTTCCAAAGGTTAAACTACAATTTCAATGCAAAGTACTTAATTAAATCTATGTACTTTTCATTAGTGTTACAAAAAAAAAAAAAAAACATGTTTAGGTCAAAGCAGCGGTGAAGAGGAAACAGACTCACCTTGTATCAGGTCTTTAGCCTGCTGGGATACATTTCTCCAGGCCTCACCTCCAAAAGAGAAATCTCCTTGTTTGATTTTGTGCATGATCTCCTCAGCACTCGTATGGATCAGGCTCTTCTCCTGACACTGAAAAGGAACCTGCCCAGACAGCATGGTGTACTGCAACAGGAGGGAAACCAGCATCAGTACAGAATACACACTTAATTACCCACTTATAAAGTAATGTTCACATGTGGTGTAAGTGTGGCACACTAACTGAAATATTTGTTTTATTTTATAGCACGCTGCCTACACTGAGCTGGGAAAGGAACAAGCCACTAGTGCTTATATGGCATGCTTTAAAAGTGCCCTCGACCGATCACGACCGTCCACATTTTTTCATTGTTACGCTGCCTGTTGTTGACCATGGTTGAACCAGCACTAAAAAATAGAGTGTCCTGTGCTCAGCTGAATAAACAGGATGCTCTCACCTTCGCCCGCTTACATCTGCCCTCAGATTTCTCATTAAAAGGACAGCAGTGGGGAAGAGCTCTTTTGGCTGCAGTTTCAGCTCACTTGGCTTGCAGGGCATTGTGCACACAGCATGTCAGAAGCAATTTGATTAAAGCTTCATAAAAGAGACTAGTATGAAGCTCTCCCCCCCACCCCACCCCCCATCCTCCATCCAACCGCAGGGAGAAGAGCAGAGCAGCAGATAAATATAAAGCCATTGCCCTGTACGGATGACTGGCCTGAACAGAAAGAGAAATCTCTGCCTCCAATTCTTATTTTCTTATCTCCCTCTTAATCCAGAAATGTCATAAAGAGTTGAATAACAGTGCAGGTTTGCAAAAAAATAAATAAATAAATTGTTTGCAAAAACCGACTCACTTAAATCTGTGGTGCAATTTTAATTAAGTATGTTCACCTCAAGGTACCATACGGTAAAAAATAAAATCATCCACAATACCCATCATTCATCTTTTTATTTTTGTATATTTAAGATTATAACAGATTAACCATTTTGGAGCCAAAAAACTATTGAAACAGGCAATAGGAAATAAAATAATATGGCTGGCTCCTGGTCTCTTTAAACCTCCATTTTGGCCAAATTCATGTTTCTCTAGTTGTTATAAGAATATACAAAATTAGGAATGCACGATATAATCGGCCTCCTATCGGTATCGGCCTTAAAACTGAATATCGGACATCGGCCACCCCACCGATATTTAACCCGATATTTGATCAGCTTCTGAGTTTCTAAAGTCTAAAAAAATAAATAAATAAATACTACTTCTTCTTCTTCCTCAAAAACTCCTTTTTTACAGACTTAAAAACTTCTAAAGACGGGGGAAAAAATATTGATACATTAAAATATCACAATATCTTCATATACTGCTATATTGCCATTTAAAAACACCATATCAATCTCTTTTACGAATGAAATATATTTCTATATGTCATCGTTATGCTACGAAATCCCCCGAAAATTCAAAAAATGTTGCCATATTTTTACATGTTGATATATTGACGCGGTATCGATCTATTTTACTAACAAAAGCTCACATGAATTAGCAAAATATCACGAGAGTTTGTAACAGAACGATGAAATTTCACGAGATTTTGAAAGTAAAATAGATCGATACCGCGTTTTTAAAAATCTATTTGATATCAGCATATGAAAATATATTTCAGTATATTATTTCTAAGTGTCAGAAATGGATAACAAAACTACTATTTTCAATGACTACTTATTTTTGTCCAGCTTTAACATCGGTATCGATATCGGTTATCGGCTACATGAGTTTTAAAATATCGGCATATCGGATATCGGCCAAAATCCCAATATCGTGCATCCCTATACAAAATATTATTTTGTAACCCTCCTGCAAATATTAACTTTCTCAGAGAGCAAAGGTGACATTGCTTACTGATATCTTAAAGAGAGAAAATGGTAGAATGAAAACATTTAAAATTGGCTTCAGCATTGTATTTTTGTGATTAAAAGAGATAGCGTGGCTAATCTTTCCCAGAATGCACTCCTCTTTACCTGGAATTTTCCATAAAATGCCACCTTTACATGTCCATGTTCGCTCTCTTAAAGGGGAAGGCCGTTTTTTTTACATTGTTCCCTTGATTTTACGTTATTACATCATGTTCTACTCACCCATATGAGTTTTGTGTCATTTGGAGCCGTTCTGAAAATATTCCGTTAGGTTATATCCAAGTAAGGTCTTCCTATGGGCAACGACTTGAAGGCACAAACTAAACTGTTCATCATTTATTCTTTATGGTACGCCAGCATTCATAACATGTAGGCAAATCACTGTCCCCCAGACATCCGCCGTTATATTTTCTATATCTAGGTTTTTTTTTTAAAACAAAGCGGTGTGTGTATGATGTCATCTAGGCGCGCTGGCTACCATTCATTCATCCTGTCCGCTGAACTGCTGCTAGTTTTTCTCACATGCCTGGAAGATGTCTAGAGCTACAACCACAGATGATCTCGCTCTCCAAATGGAATTGAACGATTCCGATTAGCTAGCTGGATGAATAAGAGGTAGAGCGTAGCCACCTGGTGTAAAGTTAAATAAAGTTGTTTTGTTTTTTGTTTTTAAACTCCCGTCCGCCGCGCGGATGACTTCATACACGAGCCGCTTTGTTATTAAAAGATATAAATATAAAAAACATAACTGTGGATGTCAGGGGGACAGTGATTTGCCTACATGTTATGAATGCTGGCGTACCATAAAGAATAAATGATGAACAGTTTAGTTTGTGCCTTCAAGTCGTTGCCCATAGGAAGACCTTACTTGGATATAACCTAATGGAATATCTTCAGAACGGCTCCAAATGACACTAAACTAATATGTGTGAGTAGAGCATGATGGAATAACGTAAAATCAAGGGCCCAATGTAAAAAAACAACAAAATTCCCCTTTAACAAGCTCCAGAAAATGGTTTCCAATGAAATATCTTCCACAGTTTGATATTTGTAAATTGTTCGCTTTTAATTTGTATTGAGGTTAGATAGATATTTTAAATATGATACACAAAGTTAATAGAGTATCCCTAATATTTATTCAACATAATATATTTACAAAACCCTTAAGGGCACAATCTATTTAGTTTGAAAAGGCAAAGCCCCCTTCTGTGGGGCAGGGAAGTCCCCCCTTAAATAAGGGCTTATTTGTGATGCTAATTTTAAGCCTGTGATTCTAAACTTAAGTTATGAAACTATGAGGATGTAATTTCAAATAATTATTCACTCAGTGGCTTTTACTACAGCAGATCCTTCCTGTCTACAGTCATTAAGATCTACAACAATTGGTGGAAGAAATCCTTGTTACTTTTAACAATATTTGATTTCCCTTTGGAATAAATAAGCACTTTTGGATTTAACTGAATTATTAAAATTGTTGCAGACATAATTTGTCCTAAAGCAGGACAAATTAGGCACAAAAAACAAAACAATGTAAAATAGCCTCAGTATCATAATAAAGAAAAGTCTTCACAGTTGAGATTATCCTCAGATTTCGGAGACGAAAACAAAACTTGAGAAAAGCCTAGAAAACTTCTGAAGCAGAAATGTTTTTAGCTTTATGGTGTAAACTGGTGGAGGCCCATCATAAACTCAAAATTCAGATCTTTTTCTCATCAGTGAATCATATTTTTCAGCATCATATGTAGCAACTAGAATTCGAATTGGATATGGGAGTTAAGATTTACACTTCCTTTGGAATGCATGCACAGAATGACATTGTAGATAGCATAACTGTTTTAATCGTGATAAAAGAACATTTAAAAATTAAATTCTATTAATAACTTAAAAAAAAACAACTGTAAAACATTTTTAAAACATTTAATCTCTCACAGCGTGACAGCATAAAAACTGTAATATAAAAATATGCTCTTATTTAAATCTGGTTTAGACAGAAAACTTTAATCCCTTCATTCTAAAAGAAAAAACTTTCCTGGTGTGTAAAGCACAAGATGTCCTTGTTAGGAATAAACGAACAACTGGAAACATGGATTCTCCATTTCTATAATTGTTGGACAATAAGCAAACTGATATTTTGCAACTTCAAACTGTGTATTACATAAAAAAAAATGTATGTCCACAAAAAACTAAAAATGATTGCTTAAAATGAAATAAGGAGTAAGAACTGCGGAAGACAAATAAAACTAAAAACTAAACTAAATTTGTTTAATTCATAGCGGTTGGCTTTTATACTTCCAATACTATTTATACTTGAATCGCTGACATTCTCATTGTCGCATATCGAACTACACTGTACTTTTAGGAATAGCATTTCATTATTAAGGAGCACACACTTACCAGAATGACCCCCAGACTCCAGAGGTCACAGGACTCATCATAGCCGTTATATTTGAGGATCTCTGGGGCAGCGTACTGCAGGGTGAAGCAGGGAGTCTTCAGCAGCTGATTGTCTGGCGGTTTCAGACGAGCAAAGCCAAAGTCTATGATTTTTATCTCTGAGTTCTCACTCTCGTCCGTGAAGAGCAGGTTCTACAAAGCAATTCGAGACACGGACAGCAATCATTTTCTCTCTCTCTCTTTTTTTCCCCCTTCTGCTCGGTTTAGTAAAGAGCCTGCTAAATTGTATATCGAGACTACCTAACTCCTTGTGACCCATGTTAGGGTCAAACAATTTTACTCTTGTTTGGTAGAAGATTGCAGAGTCAGAGTAACGACACATTATATGCAGTTCAGAAAAACACAGTGATTGTCTCCTCAAAGCATATGATCCAGCCAGGCTGTGTTTACCACAAAATACATACATGAAAAAATTCTAGTCCTTCTCGGTTATGTCTGGTACCTCTGGTTTAAGGTCCCTGTGCACCACTCCTACATCATGCATGTGACTGACAGCGGACACCAGTTTGCGCATGATGCGGCTGGCCTCGGTTTCGCTGAAGTGTTGCTTCCTTCGGATTCTCTCCAGCAACTCTCCCCCACCGAGTAGTTCCAGAACAAGGAATGTGTGGAGCTGATGCAAAAAAAAAAAAAAAGACACAGAATGTTTTAATTTTAGAGATTTTGCTGCTAGATTGGCCTGTTCTAATTACAGAGAAAAGGCCAGGATGAGAAAAACTACAAATAACTGAGAAAAGGATACTCTAAGTTCGCCATTTTCACAATATGATGCCTTTGGTAAATCACGCTCCAGTATCTATCATCTAAAAAAAATATAATCCTTGATATGAGCCATGCTGCCCTCAGATGCCATGTATACTCTACATGTGCACCACTGCCCCACAGAAGAAGCACCACTATTCACCTCAGCATGTGAAATGCTTGAAACTAAAAATGATAATCCTGGCTATTTGTGAAAATCATTTTGTGACCACTGAGGGGCTCAGAAACCGCCAAGATTCCATCCCCATATGGGCCTTACAAAATAAACAATAACTTAATCCCAGTAATCCAACACACATGCGGTGTAAATAGGGGTGTAAATAATAATGGTTTTGTATTGATGCATCGATCCAACAGCCGACGATCCGATGCATCGATACGTCCGCAAGAGAATCGATTCATTTTTTTTTTTTCCTCCGGTCTATTTTTATCCATTTGCTCCTGGATGTAATTCTCCCTCCCGTGCTGCAGTGGCGCTAAACCTATTTTGCCCTCCTACCGCGCTTCCTGGTTATACTCTTACAGCAGTGTGTTGCAGTGAGCTTGATGCAGACATGTTTGATTTATGCTCAATATTGAAGCGTGGTCTGAGCTATACGCTGTGGGTCTAGATACGGCCGAGGCGGCGAGGAAGTGGGGGCGAGTTTAGTTCGACGACGGAGAGACATGAGGGCCAAAAAGAGCGGAGCTCCAGGTGGAAAAAGGGTCCCAGCGTTCTCGCACACCTCACCCTTCTAGCGGGTCAAACTTTACGAGTTGTTTTCCGCAATTTCAGTCTTAAAAACAAACCAAGCCGGCCTCCTGTCTGCGGTCAGCTACAATTTGGGAGAGGTACAGCGGAGCGTCTGTGGAGGGGGCGGGGACATCTGGAGCCGAGGTATTGCATTGCACTGATTTTGTGCAGTATTTTTTGATGCAAGGCCTTCAGAATCCATAACGCAGGGGTATTATTATTATTCAGTGAATGAGGTTTTAATAGGAATAGTTGGAGTGCAACTTTTCTACTTCTGTTATTTTCTGTTGTTTCTCCAAAAAAATGCATAATGATATTACAGCTTTTATTGATGTATTTCAAATTTGAAACATTGTCTAGCCTGTAAGGCAGTGGTCTCCAACCCTGGTCCTCAAGATCTACTGTCCTACAGATTTTAGATGCATCCCTGCTTCAAAACAGCTGAATCAAATGAATGGCTTGAAAAGGTAATCAATCATTTGATTCAGCTGTGTTGAAGCAGGGATGCATCTAAAATCTGTAGGACAGTAGATCTGGAGGACCAGGGTTGGAGACCACTGCTGTAAGGTGTAAAAAAATAAATAAATAAATAAAAATATGAACCAATTAATCGAATCGAATCGTATCGTGGTGTATTCTTGAGTATCGAAAATAATAAAATCGTTGGGTCAGGAAATCGATACTGAATCGAATCGCCATGATGGATGTGATTTACACCCTTAATCGCAACCATGAAAAATGGATCCAAATTCTCCAAAGAGGGTATGATCTAAAAATTATTTTTTGACAGCAAGTCTTTTTTAAAGTCACCTCAGTTTGAAAACGAATGAATGTACAGCTTATATCTTCTTGTTTAAGGTGGCTCAAAGACACTAGAACTGGCTGAAATCGTTATTGGTAGTCAAAGCTTGACCAAGAAAATGCAGCTCAGAACCTTCTAATAACTTTTTTCAATGCATTTCGATATAAAGACACCTAAATGTTTCCCACATTAGGGCTGCTTCTTTTTTTCTAATCATATTTCTTGCCAGACTCTGTTAAGAGTTATCCCTGAGCTATATTTCCCTCATAAACGTAACATGTTTTTTTAAAATGCAAATTTAATCAAGCTGTAATTGCCTAAACTGGATATTAAACAGACAAATGAAATGTTCCAACCAAAAACACAGACACGCAGCACATGCCTGATCTCATGATGGTGAGATCAAACCGTAATAGTATTGAGTAAATGTGAAAGGAGTCTAACAAAGATGGAAGAGAATAAAGTGTCTGGGCAGCGGGGTACAAATTCTCATTAGTGCTGGATCTAAGGAACAAAAGCAGGACGGAGCTGAGACGAAGCCAGGCAGTGCCGCTTTGATCTGGGTCACAGGCCTGCGACGTACAGTAATAACCCCGCTGAGCTCATCAGGACTAAAGTGGTGCTCCTGGGCATGAAGGACTTTGGCTAATGAATCTGTATGCAGTCGGGCGCTTGGAAACACCTTCCAAATAACCGAGGTAGGCCACGTCAAAGTGCATGCACACTTAGTTTGGGTTAAGTGTGCAACTCTATTAGCAACACAAGTGAATCCAGGTTGTTTTCATTCTGCAGAACAAAAAGGTTGTTTATACAGCTGTGGGTTGGAAATAAATCTGCTTTGGAAAACCATGTTCAGAAATATTCACAGATAATACTATAAGGTAGAGAAAAAGACCAGAAAGGCTCCCAGGAGGCTCCTATTAATCTGTGCTGTTCCAATTCTAGCATTTATTAGGCTGGTGGTCTCATAGGGCCAAAAGAAAAGTGTGAAAAACAGATTTGATGCCAGAAGCTTCACCTGATCGTGGTAAATTTCATGTAACTTCACGATGTTTGGATGTCCGTCACAGAGCTTCAATGCTGCTATTTCCCTTTGAGTCTGCGCCTCCATCCTAAAAAAAAAAAAAGAAACATTTGAGATAACTTTTTTCCTTTAGTACCGTAGTTTTTATGCAGTTTATTTGTATTATTTTACAGAATAAAGTAATAGAACATGTATAATTGTTTTAATTATTGTAAAATATATTCTTTTATCAACTAGTGACCTTAAGCAGAATGGTACATCATCTTAAGACAAACTGGAATATTTTGGTTAAGAAGTATTAACTCCATCTTTCTATAGAGCATTGCAAAATCGCCATTTTTGTCATATTGCATCCACAAAACTTTAAGGTTTTTTATGGTATATCATGTGATAAAGCAATGCAAAGTACCATCTAATGATTGTTTATTAAAACAACACTGTAAAAACAAAGGAACACAGGTCAGGTGAAAAAGTTAAAAGGGTAAGTAGCTTTAAACCTCTCAAACAGCAGATATGGTCGTCTACATAAAAATCTATTTTAAAGAGTGTTGTAAAAGGAGCAAGGGTAGAAAGAACTCCTTAAGGCTTGTGATTTGGATTTTGCAAGAAACCATACGGGAAGACGCAGCAGACGTTTGGACAAAAAGTGATATGATCAATTTGGCGGTTTTTTGCATTTTGTGTATCAGAAACCAATGATATGGAGGACCAACTCTGCCATATTTAAAAATAAATACATAAATAAATAAATGCTCAATTAATAAATAAGCATACAATTAATTGCCACCAAAAATACAATAAACAAATAAATGAAGTAGAAATTAAATCATACAGTGAGACATAAATGTATATAACTCTTTTAATTAGCTTCTTTATTTATTTGCCTTTGTAATATTTACCTTATTTATTTTTTTATCCTATATAACCTTCAACTTTATTTTTTTAATTACTTACATTTTTAAGTTTTAGTTAAGTTTACATTTTATTTATTTATGTGCATATTATAATATTTTTGACAGTTTTATTCTTCCTTTGTATTATTTTACCCTAGTTATTTCTTCGCCGCTATTTATTTCTGCCTGTCGTATTTACATTTCTGTCTGCATTTCTGCCTCATTATGCAAATGAGGAGGGGGCTTGTCCTAGAGAAACACCTTCTGCTCATTGGTTGGCGGCCCATCTTCTTAACTCACAGAGATCAGAGTACTAAGTTAAATGTTCTCTTTTCTGTTGCTGTTGTTCAATAAAAGTACGTTTTAAGATTATTTGAGGCGAGAATATTATACTTTTAAGCATCACCATATGGCCCATTCACAGATTGAATGCAGAATTTAAAAGAAAATGTTCCGAACTTGAGAGAACCGCGGCAACCAGTGGAGCTCCGAAGCTGACGGCAGCCAGGTCTAACGGCAGCCCCTCTCTCGGCATAGCCGTGTGTGAAGGACCGCTGGCTATAATGGCGATTTTCTGTTGTATTTGGCAAAGTTTGTCCTCGTCAAGAACATACTTGGCGAGGACACGAGTCCCTACTCGCGCTCTAATGACTTCAGACTCGACTTCAGACCTTCCTCTCCCCCTGTAGATTCGACCGATGCAGTAAAATGCTAACCAACCAATGAGCAGAAGTTGACTCTCTAGGACACGCCCCCTCTTCATTTGCATAATGAGGCAGAAATGCAGACAGAAATGTAAAAATGGCAGACAGAAATAAATAGTGGCAAAGAAATAGCTAGGGTAAAAAAATACCAAGGAAGAATAAAACAGACAAAAATATTATAATATGCAAATAAATAAATACTTAAAAATATAAGTTATTAAAAAATAAAGTTGAAGATTATAAAGGACAAAAAAATAAATAAGGTGAATATTACAAAGGCAAATAAATAAAGAAGCTAATTATGTCTCACTGTAGAATTCAATTTCTACTTCATTTATTTGTTTATTGTATTTTTGGTGGCAATTAATTGTATGCTTATTTATTTATTTATTGAGCATTTATTTATTTCTGTATTTATTTTTAAATATGGCAGAGTTGGTCCTCCATACATGAAAGCAGGAGGGGGAAGAATCATGCTATTACATTTCTTCATCAGGGACAATGAAAGCCAGACAGAGTTGATGTGATGATGGATGCAGATGAACATAAAAAGCTGTTAGGGGCGACATGAAATGAGCACTAACCCTACAGCCAGAGCTACAATAGAATATTGAAGTTTTGGGGGGAAAAAATAAAAAAATAAATAAAAAATCAAGGCACTAAAGAGGTCAAGAAATGTCTTTTCAGCTGTGTGGCCCCGTTAATAACATGGGCACAATATCTGGAGCAGTATTTGTCAATAAATAATATGAGGAGTGTTGTGGCTGCAGCTAAGGTACAAGATGAAAGCAGGTTTTGATGAGTTTTATGAAGAAGAAACAAAAAAATAAGTAAAACACTAAATGTGTAAAAAGAGCTGGATAGATTGAGGTTATATCTGTCAATCATCTTCATTTCATCGGTTTCACACATTTCTAATGCAATACTTTCATAACCTTGTTTAATGTAAGCAAACCAAAACCTTGTTTTTTTGCCAAGACAGCCAGCAGTGGGTTGGATGCATCTAATAGCTATAAATAGAGAGGTGACCCAGAACAATCTGGGCCAAAAACTGCATTTTAAAAAGTAGCTCGTACCTTTTGCTGACTATCTTGACTGCATACTGTTGTCCAGTCTTTTTGTGTGTGCAGCGGCGACAGATAGAGAAGCTTCCCTCTCCGAGAGCGCTGTCCTGCAGGTCCATCTCATAATTCATGTAAAAAGGGGAGTCCTGCATAAAACAGTGAATCAAAGCAAGTTGTCTGTTTATATTATGAGCCGTATAACAGACAATCTGTAGATTGCTGCTGCTGGTCATAAATAAAATAAAAGCGACAGATTCATTAATCTCATGATAAGAGAATAGAAAGAACTTCAAAGAGATATTGTGCTCTATTTAGATCTAGATTCCTCACCCCTGTTCTCAGCGCAGAGGAACAGATTATAGAATTTATCCTCTGTTCAAATTTATGAAGAGAAGATAAATAAAAAGACCTAGAAGTTTGAAGTTCAAATGAAATTCACATTTTTATATAAAAAAAAATTATAAAATTAAAAAACAATGCACCATGCAATAGTATTCATACATGTGAACTTTTTCTCACCTTACAGCTAAAGCATATTATAGTTGGGTATAATTTTGAAGTGGAAGAAAAAGCTTGGACGGTTTTCAGGATTTTCTGGAAATGAAGAAGTGATGCAATTTCACTCCCTTTACTCTGATACCTCAAAACAAAACCAGTTCAACTAACTGTCTTCAAAAAAGGGTAATTGTGTGTAATTTAATCCCAGTATAAGAATAACTGCTCTGTGAATATCTCAGAAAACCTCAGTGATTATTTCCTCGAGGCATCTTCCATAAGATTTTCGAAAGAAAAATTGTTAAAAAACTGTATCCTTAAGACTAGAGGAACAGTGTAAGGTTGGTATCTGATGCAAGGCTGGGTTAGAAAATAATCCTAAACTTAATATCCCTTATAGAAAACCCTTTAAACGCTAAATAAACACACCAACCTGAGCTGAATTTCCCAAGTTTGATGCATGGTTGTGGCAGCATTTTGATGAGGGGATGCATTCCACATACAAACTAAAATACTGATCAGAGTTTTGGGTAAATAAAGAGCAATCTTGGAAAGAAATGTTGCAAGGCACTTAACCTGACTCTGCCAGATGGATTTGCTCCGCATATCCATCTGGAAACCTTCCGTTGAAGTAATTTTGGGAAGGTGCGAAAATACTGGTTAGCTGATTGGCCTATGTTGGTGATAGACGGGCCAAATAAACCAATCAGATCAACGAAGCATATGACATACTAACAGAGCGATGACGAAAACACAACCACAAGCCAGGCTACTCTTGCCGAAACCAGTCGGGAGAAGAGCAAAAACATCTTTTCCTCTTAGAAAAGCCTCCAGAGCAGTGTTTTGCTCTTCTTTCAGTGAAGAAATACTCTGTAATTCCGATAAAACTTTCTCGATAGCCACACTAGTTTCATCGGCCGAAGCCGCCATGTTCTTTAGAATGAACTGTCGCGCTTCTCGTTGCGTCACACCTCAGCCCGCCTCAAAGCCATTGATTCGTTTGGTGAACGGCTCCAACTTTTCTTTAACGGAGAGTCTCCAGACTGATTAGCGAGTGAAACCTTGAAAGCTCGCGAGATCAGGATGGTCTCATGAGGCTACAAGGCACTGGCATCGGGGTGAAATCAATGCACAACTTTGTTAAAGGTGTAAAAAATCCTCTGCCTAGCTTCAAGTTTCCAAACAAAGAAAAAAAACCTTAAAAAACACAGACAAGCTTGACTAGAAATCAGTCAAATCCATGGAACAAGACTTCAACATATCTATTTACAACTATACACTAAGCTACACCATAAAAGTTGGAAAAATGTCATTCTTAAAAATGTCTTATTTTAAAATTACTTCCATCTAAAGAACAACAATGAAAAAATAGGATTTGAGATCTAAAATCATTATGTTGCTTTTTTTCTCAAACGGTTTCATACTACACAAACCGATAAACGCATCCATGAAAGAAAAAAATCATTGCTGAATAAACAGCCTGGAAGTAAAATCCAAAGAATGGAGTGAAACAGGGAAAGTTTGGAAAAAGAGCTAAAGTGGAACAAAGAAATGGAGAAAAATCTCATCTGTCTGTGACAGCAGCCATTAGTTTAAGTGTGTTTTTGCTGAGGGATCCAAGTCTGTTCATCTTACCTTCATCATGGCGCTGCGGGCCACGGCGGCAGAGCCTGGCCTCTCAGAGCCCCCACACAGCTGGATGGGGTCGTCCATCACCACATTCCTCTTGAACAGGATGGAGGGGGCCATGAAAGAATAACCCTGCAAGCAGAAACAAGAGCGCTGTGTTTACATTTCATCTCTTCCCTTAATAAGGAATAAACTGTACAAAGCACTCTTTGCCAAAGTCTGCATTCTTAGAAGAAAAGTGTAAAAAATCTTGTGATTTTAACTCGTCAAACCACTTTGTCAGCTCCACAATGAGGCGATTCTTTCTGAGTGACAGCCGCTGTCCAGCTGTTTCTATTGTTAAACTTGTCATTGTGTTGCTTAATTCCAGCTGTGGGAAGCCCAGAGCTTGAAGCTGGCATTAATCTTCCTTCTTTTTTTTTCCCCCACCGACACACAGACACACACACACACACACAGCTGTGTGGTATGCAATGACAGCAATGGATGGACGGAAGGATGGATGCTGAATGAATGAGATGCCCTAAATTGCCGGGCTTGAATATTTGATTGCTCTGCCGTGAAATTACATCTTGGCGCTCTTAATGCAATTTTAATTTTGTTTTGTGAGGCACCACGGGGGAGCAAGTGCACAGCTTAAACTGGGATTGCTGTCGTTATCTCAGAGATTGCTAGGCTTGCAAATTATAAAGACCGCAAAATTTCGGAGTGTGTGAACGGCAGCTGAGAGGGGGAAAAAGCCAAGATGAAGTTGGCAATCAAAGACTGAAGGCGTAACTGAGATAGACGTGGTGATGCTCTCAAAGTGTAACCTTTTATTTCATGAGAGAAGCCCGTTAATGGATCTATTGATCTACCGAGCTCAAGGATCCAGAAGGCAATCAGAGTTGAAATTTCATGCAATACATCAGACAGCTATCAGCTGGCATGGAGTTGTGGGCCATATTATGGTTCAAAGCTACATCAAAAATAGTCATTCACATCTGTTACTTCAATGAGAGCTGCATATGGCAGCAATTACTTCAATAAAAGACTCCTTAGCCAATTTGAATACCAACGCACACAGACAGACTCATGTTGACTTACAGCAACCTTTGAGGACATTCGAAACTGGAATTGATTATTTCAATCGCTGTGAAGTATTTCAAATATAGTCACAGACAAAAAGTGGGTATGGTATAATGCTGCCTTCTTCCTCCGTGTCAACATTTTACAATGTCTGCAGTTACAGCCCAGACAAACTGGGGCACGTAAAAAGAGCAGGTATCTCCTGTGCCACGACTCAAAGGAATATCTATTTAAGGAAACAAGGGTCCTTAAACACACAGCGGGGTTGTTTACATCGCATACTGTTCACCCACCTGGAAAATGCGGTCACAGTTCTGAGGCAGAGCTGCAGGGGAGTAAGTCGGGTCCATTTCTGTGAACTCTTCTGCAAAATTACTGACATCGAGCTCATCTCGAATCACTGGCTTAAACGGCGCGGGTACCTTCTTTGCTGCCAAGTCCTCCCAGATTATTTTCTACATTAGATTGGGAAAAAAACAACAACAAAAAAACTAATTAGTCTTTAGTTAAATTCATCATAATACAGTACATTGCAAACGTACTTACAGTCCTTCTACTTCTTTACATTTTGTCATGTCACAACAACAAACGCAGAAATGAGAAGTGGAAAGGGAAAAAAAAAAGTTTTTGTTTTGTTTTTTATTAAAAAAATCTTAATCAACCACTTTCTATTGCTATTGAAGCTGCGTCTCCTTCGGATTCTGTAAACAGTTGTTTTCAGAATCACGAACAAACCGCACTGCATTAACATTTTTTAGCTAAAATATGTTTGAATCTCGTTCCCAAATAAAATCAAAGAACTTGTAACGTAGACAAATACATTTTGAATTTAAGAAAACTTTTTTTTGTAATATGCCAACAAATGTAATTACAAAAGTGACCAGATTATTCAACCTCAGTCACATACATTACATAGATCCCTGGCAATTAGCTGAACACCCATTGCCAATACTAACATCCTTCAGACGTTTCCATGCTAGCTCTGGCTTCATGTTTAGGTTCGCCCACCATGATACTGCTACCACCATGTTTTATTGCTGAGTGTGTGTTCATAGTGACGTGCAGTGTTACACATATTGCTTTGTTTTTAGGATAAAATGTTAGTCCAATTTTACCAAGATGTCATCCTTTGCATGCTTGCTGTGTTCATCACAGGCTTGTAACACGCTTTAAGGCATTCTTTCATCAATAACCTAATTTTTTGCTGCTCTTAAATAAATGGCAGGTTTTTTAACCAGAGCTGCGGCTGCCCCAGAATTGCCATTATTGCTTGCAGTCGAACCATTCCGTTCCCATTTTCATACGATGTGTGACTCTGGAACAACCAAGATGTTTAACTATTTCGATATTGTTTTATAACCTAAACCTCCTATAAAATTCACAACAACTTTTCCGGCCAATCTGCTGTGTTTCTTAGGATTGGTATTGATCTTTGGTCAATATTGTTCTACAAAGATCTAAAGTTTTCAGATTTAATTTTGGGATTAAAATGCACACAGGTAGACTCTGCAATGAGGTGACTTTGTAAAGCTATTTGTAGTCTTTGGACTGTCAGAACAAAGCTGAACACAAATGTAGGTAAAAATTACGTTTCCACGTGACTTTTTTTCCCTTTAAAACTTAGCACAGCTGCTAATCTACCAATTAAATTACAAAAACACAAAGGTTGGTGGTTGAAATGGGACAAAATGTGAAAAATACTTCTGGAATGCTACTTAAATAATTACTCAAAGCGGGGAGAAATTTCCACCTGGTAAAACGGATGTTTCTTCACATTGTCTGCTCCATTTGGACCGGACCCTAATCTCTTCTGTGGGTCTTTGACGAGGAGTCGCTGAATGAGGTCTTTGGCCAGCGGTCCAATGTCTTTGGGGAAAGGAGGGTCCTTTTTGCAAATCCTCCTGTAATGTTACAGGCAGGCACAGTTAGCAACGCCGAGTGAGGATAATTAATTTGATGCTTCACAGGATAAATCCATACTTGGCAATATCCGAGTGGGAATTTTCCTCTCCATCAACAGTGAAGGGCGATCCACCCGTCAGAAGCTCGTACATCAATACACCGAGGCTCCACCAGTCCACTGCCTGGGATGGAAGAAAGCCCAAACCCAAATGCTTCAGTTAAATTGAACAAAACCGTGCATATCTGGCTTTTAAACATTAAAACTCTACTTTACCTTGTCATGTCCAGAATCTCCCCCTTCAACTATCTCTGGAGCCATGTATTCAATAGTGCCGCAGACAGAGAAAGCCCTCTCAACCTGCAAAGACAAAACAACAACAAAAAAAGATAATCCAACACAGAATCATTATCTTAGTCTTGCTCAAACATTTTTTAAACATTAATAATTAGAGACAGTATAATACTTTTTTCTGCTCCCCTTATTTAAAAGATTCAAAGGAAAACTTCTCAGACATTTTTGATGTGGCGTCTGTGCAGAGCCTCACCCTTGTAGGCGTCTTTAGTTCTTCTTTTAGAACAGAGGAGGCTTTCTGACAGATCTGAATGACAAGTGCCTAGCAACATCCCTATCATCAGTGCCATCATGCGTTACACAAAACATTGATAAATTCTGGCTCTGCACTGCAGTCAGTTCATTTAACATCACGTCCAGCTGAAATGAGGAAGCGAGCTCATAAAATAAAAACCAGCTATAATTGCTGCCTATTGAAGACCTGATAAACTTTTAAATTGACAAACTATCCCAGGGGTGCTTGCAACAAGTTTTAGTGAAATTAGCAGGATATTAACCTGAAAAAAGAAAACCAAAAAGAAATTCAACTTTTAAGTTCAATAAATCTATTTATTAATTCTAATGATTTTTAAACATTTTAATTTTAGGCTTTTTTGACAATGTTCTTAGCTATTTAACAGTTTGTGGTTTATATGAATTAATCTTTTTAGTTTTTTGGGGTTTTTTTTATCTAATGTGTTTTGAAATGTAAACATCAACAAAAAAAAATACTGTTAATTTCTCAACATAACAATGCCCTTTCTGCCTTTTTTTTTGTTTAAAAAAACAAAATGATCAAGCATTAATCCTTAATCATTTAAAATATGTATATAAGTAATGCAACATTTGTATTGTTTTTTTTTTAAAGATGAAAAAAAAAACTGGGATAGGACTTTCAGGATTTTAAGATTATTCGATAGATCAAAGATTAGCAACAAAAATTATATGTACATTAGTATTTTTCTTAAATATAAACAAAAACTTTCACGTTACATCGTTGTCACAAATTTTGCCACAAAAATTTACAGTTAATAACATTTATCCTCCACTTAAGAGTATTAAAGCATAGACAATATATATTGTGCATTATATTTTTATAAATTTCACATTTTTTATTATATTGCATCAGATGTTACTGTGCTTCCATTGTAGGCTTGTTTAGAAAACTTTATATAAGTATGTTAACACACGACATTATGTAAAAGATCTGCGCGCGCCGGCTACCGTTCATTCATCCTGTCCGCTGAACTGCTGCTAGTTTTCCTCACATGCCTGGAAGATGTCTAGTGCTGCTACCACAAATGATCTCGCTCTCCAAATGAACGATTCAGATTAGCTAGAATGAATAGAAGGGGTAGAACGTAGCCGCCTGTGGCCCGAGCTGCCTGTCACTACTCCAGTTTTTAAACAAAGCGGCGCGTGTATGACGTCATCCGTGCGCGCTTTGTTTAAAAAAAAATATAAATATAAAAAAATATAACCGCGGATGTCTGGGGGACAGTGATTGGCCTACATGTTATGAATGCTGGCGTACCATAAAGGATAAATTATGAACAGTTTATTTTGTGCCTTCAAGTCGTTGCCCATAGGAAGACGTTACTTGGATATAACCTAACGGAATATCTTCAGAACGGCTCCAAATGACACAAAACTAATATGGGTGAGTAGAACATTGTTGGGAGCTGGAGAAATTCCACCTTTCTCCAGCAGAGTCCACCGTGGATCCTCTGAGGGAGCCTCCTGCACAGCTGCAGCTCGTCAAGATCATCAGAGGATCCACTACTTAAGCTGTCTTCAGACCTTGCCTCAACGCCGCAGTGTTGTTCCAGTTGGTCAGCGCTTAAGCCTAGATCCTCAGAGTAATTCGATGACTTTGAATCCAGCTAGGATTCTAACCCCTGTGTCTGTTTTCCAGGAAACCTGTGCCTCCTCTGTGAAAGCTCTGGAAGAGCTAACCTGCCGAGCCGACCCTCTGAGCCAAACCTGAAGATTCACTGAGAACCTCCAAGCAGCTCTGGACTAGAGCTGGGAAACCCAAAGCCAAGGTCTGTTCTAATTAGACGTGAGACGCTGAAGCAGCTAACGGACTCTGCTGATGAACTCTTCTCCAGAACCAACAGTGACTCTCCCAAAGCTAACCTCAAGAACCCTCAAGGTACAATCTGTGAACGTCTGGAAATCAAACCTCTGTTGGCAACGCTAACTGAACTGTCTCTCACGCAGACTCCGGTGAACCAGAATCCAGGCCCCGAACCAGAACCCGTATATTCAGTGTGCTTGTGCATTAATAAAACTGTTAAACTTTCATCCTTGTGTCCGTCAGTGGTGTTCTGCATTCTTGGGTCGCTTTCAGTGAACCCATCATGACAGAACACTGCGGCCAAACTCAAGGCCCAGCAGATCACCTCACCCGTCGACTGGAGGAGCAGGATGCTCAAATTCAGGGACAAACCCAAACGCTCCGTGAGTTATACCGTCTAGTTGACACTCATAACCAAATGCTACAGAGCTGTGCTAATTATCTGAACAGCGCTAATGCTGTCCCACAACCATTTCCGGGTCCAGTTCGACCTCCGAGGTCACCAGCTGGGACGTCATCTGAGTTCCGTCCTAGTCTCCCAGAAAGATTTTCTGGTAACATGAAAGATTGCAAAGGATTTTTATTTCAATGTCGGTTGATTTTTCAGAACTCCCCTGGCTGTTTTTCCACGGATCATAAGAAGATAACTTTCATTCTCTCGCAGTTAACAGGAAGAGCCTTAGAATGGGCTCAGGCAAGATTTGCCGCTGACGATAGCTTAAATTGCTACTACTCTGATTTCATTTCTGAATTTACCCAGGTATTCAACCAAGAAACTGAGCAAACTACACTATATTGCCAAAAGTATTTGCTCACCTGCCTTGACTCACATATGAGCTTAAGTGACATCCCGTTCCTAATCCATAGGGTTCAATATGACGTCGGTCCACCCTTTGCAGCTAGAACAGCTTCAACTCTTCTGGGAAGGCTGTCCACAAGGTTTAGGAGTGTGTTTATGGGAATTTTTGACCATTCTTCCAGAAGCGCATTTGTGAGGTCGCACACTGATGTTGGACGAGAAGGCCTGGCTCTCAGTCTCCGCTCTAATTCATCCCAAAGGTGTTCTATCGGGTTGAGGTCAGGACTCTGTGCAGGCCAGTCAAGTTCATCCACACCAGACTCTGTCATCCATGTCTTTATGGACCTTGCTTTGTGCACTGGTGCACAGTCATGTTGGAAGAGGAAGGGGCCAGCTCCAAACTGTTCCCACAAAGTTGGGAGCATGGAATTGTCCAAAATGTCTTGGTATGCTGAAGCATTCAGAGTTCCTTTCACTGGAACTAAGGGGCCAAGCCCAGCTCCTGAAAAACAACCCCACACCATAATCCCCCCTCCACCAAACTTTACACTTGGCACAATGCAGTCAGACAAGTACCGTTCTCCTGGCAACCGCCAAACCCAGACCCGTCCATCAGATTGCCAGATGGAGAAGCGCGATTCGTCACTCCAGAGAACGCGTCTCCACTGCTCTAGAGTCCAGTGGCGGCGTGCTTTACACCACCGCATCCGACGCTTTGCATTGCACTTGGTGATGTATGGCTTGGATGCAGCTGCTCGACCATGGAAACCCATTCCATGAAGCTCTCTGCGCACTGTTCTTGAGCTAATCTGAAGGCCACATGAAGTTTGGAGGTCTGTAGTGATTGACTCTGCAGAAAGTTGGCGACCTCTTCGCACTATGCGCGTCAGCATCCGCTGACCCCGCTCCGTCAGTTTACGTGGCCTACCACTTCGTGGCTGAGTTGCTGTCGTTCCCAAACACTTCCATTTTCTTATAATACAGCTGACAGTTGACTGTGGAATATTTAGGAGCGAGGAAATTTCACGACTGGATTTGTTGCACAGGTGGCATCCTATCACAGTTCCACGCTGGAATTCACTGAGCTCCTGAGAGCGACCCATTCTTTCACAAATGTTTGTAAAAACAGTCTGCATGCCTAGGTGCTTGAATTTATACACCTGTGGCCATGGAAGTGATTGGAACACCTGATTCCAATAATTTGGATGGGTGAGCAAATACTTTTGGCAATATAGTGTATGTACTGTGGTGAGAGTGCACACTTCATTGCTTCCTGCCCGGCTAAATCAAAAGCCTGGGCCCGCCAGAAGATCTGAGGAGTCTGGCGGGCCAAATAAACACTAAGAAATCTCCTCGACTGTTGCTGCCTGCCACACTATTCTGTGCTAACCAGAGCCTCTCCTTCTCAGCATTTATCGACTCAGGTTGTGAATGTAACCTTATCGATTCAAACCTCGTCCAGCAACTCCAAATTGAAACCATTCCCCTGACTCAGCCTCTCAATGTATCCGCTATTGACGGAAGAAGACTCCATCAAGTTACCCACCAAACTCAGCCCCTCGAGCTACTTCTGTCAGGTAACCACCAAGAGACTATAACATTTTTTGTTTTTCCCTCTGCATGTTCCCCGCTGGTGCTCGGTTTCGAATGGTTGGAGAAGCATAATCCTCACATTAACTGGACTAAACGTCACCTGGAATCATGGTCCATCTCATGCCACGAGACATGCCTTCGTTCTGCTGCCCCCTTGGTGGGGTCTCCTAGAGGTGGGGGGGAGATGGACTCTCCTGACCTTTCTTCAGTTCCCTCTGAGTACCATGATCTAGCCCCAGTCTTCAGTAAGGTCAGTGCGACGTCCCTACCTCCACACAGACCATACGATTGCGCCATTGAACTTTTACCTGGTGCTCCTTTACCTAGCAGTAGATTGTATAACATTTCTAAGCCCGAGAGAGAAACAATGGAAAAATACATAAACGAATCATTAGCTGCTGGAATAATTCGCCCTTCATCTTCTCCATTGGGCGCCGGGTTCTTCTTCGTGGGAAAGAAGGATGGTTCCCTGAGACCTTGTATTGACTACCGAGGTTTGAACCAGATCACTATTAAAAACAAATACCCACTGCCTCTTCTTGCCTCTGCTTTTGA